GGTCTTTGTCTGACTTTAGAAGCTTTTAAGGGCACTGTTTAAGTGGAAGGCAGAGAGAGGTAGGCAAGTGTATCCAAGTAAGATGATTCTTGTGATCCAGAGAGTGAAGTGCAGGCTGCACACAAACACATTACTCTTTCATTGTGAATGTTTGACTTTTGTCCTCTTTCCTGAGGACTGTAGATAAATTTGGTGTTCTCTTCAACTCTCATTACCCTCCTCAGTGATAGCTCAGTGACAGGAACCCCACTGTCCTTCTCAGACTCTTTGCTATGCCTGAGCAATGCATTATGCTAGAGCCTGCTGATATTACACTTTGGCTGCTTTTCTGGCCAGAGTAATGCAGAAAGAGATTCTGCTTGCTCGCCTTTCCGCCCCACGGTTGCACATGTCTTTTGATTCTTCTTGTGCTGTTACTCCCGTATCCACGCTTTATAAGTCACTCACCTTCCTGGCACCTTCAGCCACCCCTGTTACATGCCACTTTTCCCACTGTAAAAGTCACCTTTTGGTGCAAAGCCTTTTTGCTGTGTACGGTTCCCTTCCAGCTCCAAAAGTCACATTACATCAAAAGAGGGCACTCTGGCACCAGGGTCGCAAACCTGCATGGGTGATGTTAGTACAACAAATGGTCTGGAGTTGAAGAGCTCTGATCAATAACTGTTCATCAGTGGGTAGTTAATTCTCTGGTTTAGCAACTGTCTGCCTATGTTAAGAAGCCTTCTTGATAAATGGATGGCAAAGACATGCTCCTCAGGGGAGTGTCCTTCCTTCAAGTTGCTTTAAACTGTCTACCACTCAAGCAGAAATTAGCATTTCCATCTGTGGCTAGGACACATTCAGCCTGTCTCATCCTTCTCTGCTGCTTCCTCTGCTTCCTCCTGCTCAGCAGTGCCAGCAGATGGATGGGGAGGACAGCCCAATGAACTCCAACATGGAACTTAAAACTAACCTGTCAGTGAGTGAGGAGTGCCGCTTTTAACCTAACTAATTGCCTGGCCCCACAGTCAGTGTAATGCCACAAAGATGGAAGCACATGACAGCTGTCAAGGAGTGTGCCACTGCTGCCAAGCATGGCATAACAGCATGGTGAAGCCCTGCCTGCGCTCCTCCCTCAAAGTGTGTGTGCTGTGGACCTCCAAGGACAGGTCCAGGCTGACCCTGCTGTGCTTTCATCTCTCTTGGGCAACATGAGAGATTTGCTTGAGACCCCCGTGGCCCAGCCCATTGCCTGAGAGCTCTGCTGGCCTTTTACCCTACATACACCTTTTCCTCATTTCTCTCCTTATGTCTGCCCCGTATGTCCAGATTCTGCTGCTACTTTTTATTCCATTCTCACTGAGGAACAATAATGTGTTTGAACTCACTTAGTTCACCCTTATGTTTTTTTCATTGTGATTCTTGCTATTCATACTTAGTGCTTCCTTTGATCTTCCTAAGCCTTCTGCCTGAGCACAGGTACCCATCAGAGATCACATCCGTGTGCCCTACTTCAGACTGTGGCAAATCAGGTTTGGGATCAACATTCAGACTAAGCTCAGTTTTTCACTGAGCCGCTATCAACAGCCACTCAGTTTTACTCCTGGGTTAACCACATACAACTTGCTCTTTTGGGGATCAGGCTCCCTATCTGCTCTTCACAGCTGATACTCCCCAGAATAAAAGGAGCAGAAGCTGAGCCCTTCAGGTGACTCCTACGATGATGGTATTCTGTAGCAAGGGATACATCTTGGAGAGAGAACTCCTGTTCCCTCGTCTCTGCTTCTAGTATTATATTATTTTATTAAATAAACATACAATTTTCTCCTAGAAAGACATGGTGTAATGATTTAAAATGCACATACTTCCTGGAAATGAAGACAGAATTCGACTGGCTATCTCACTTCTTCAGCATATGCTTCAATCACTGGACTAATATGGACCTGGAGGAAAATCCTGTTGGATATTAGCAAAAGCTCAGGTTTAATGGTGTACATTACACTTAGAAAACTCCCTGGACCAGGGTCTCCATGTGTCATAGGGAAACACTGATTACTTAGATAATGATTGGAATTGAGCTAGCTCTTCCTAAGCCACCCACACTGTTCTTAATCTAGCTGACCTAGAACAGAATCAGGACTTCATGGTATGTTCTCATGGCAGAATAAGACAAACCCAGAGCACTAGCATAGCTTTTGGACCCCAGACACTCACACTCCATAAGTGCTAGCACAGTTTTTGGCCCTGCTAAATAGTTTATGAGAGGGCTTATGGTATTTGTAAAACACTGTCATGTCATGTTACCACATTTAATGCTTGCATTGAAAACACAGTAATTTCCTTATAATTATGTAAGGGAAGTGTCCCTATGGAGGTGGGTAAACAGTGGAACAGGGGCCCAGAAAAGTTGTGGGAACTCTGTCCTTGGAGACACCCAAAATGTAAAGGCCCTGGACAAAGCTGCGAGCAAGCTGATGTGACTGTGCCTCCCTTGAGGGGACTAGAGCCCTCCAGAGACCCTGTGCCCATGTGTGTGACTGATTTTTTACTTTGGGGAGTGCTGCAGCCACACAATAAACTATAGCATGCACATGCCCAGCAGACTGGAAATTGCTCTCCAGTCTCTGGAGATTACCATTTCTCCAATGCATTTCAGATATCCTATGACATGAGTTGTAAATGAAAGGAGAGAAAAGAGAGAGAATTAAAGATCAAGGATCAGATGTTAAACCCTGCCTGCTCAGTTGCTGGTATTGAACCAGTTTGTAACTGTGCATTCACCATTACCAGCAGACATTCTTTGTGCCAGTGTATCCAGCATGGTCAAACGAGTCTAAGGTGGTTTCTGTTTGACAATACTTAGAACTCAGTAGTTCTTGCAAATAAATCGCACCAGACATAGAGAGGCAAGCCTCCAGCTAGACTTCACATGACCATGAAGTACAGGATGAGATCTTACGTTAGCAATACTAACCAAGCAATGAGGTCAGTATAGGATAATGGGGAAAACTGAACTTTGCTACAACTAAATGTCATGTTGATAAATGCAATTTCGCTGGTTTTTATAAACAAAATTAAACTTAATTTGCTTCACAGTAGCTAATGTGCCGTTAATTCAAAACCCACAAAATAACTCACTGGACACAGTTAATAGTCAGCAGACCACATAGGCCAGGCTTTGAAAGCATTTAATATTCACTGAAGTGCTGCTTGTATCCAATTATAACTCTCTGCTTGCCATCTTAATAATTTAAATCTGTCCACTCTTTAGAGAGAAAAAAATGCACTAATCAAAGACATGAATGCACCTTTTGCTTTTGACAGCATTAAATTAAAACTAAATGGTAGATCTTGAATGAGTTACTCCGCAAGAAAAAAGGCATTAATGAGGTAATTTCATTATAGAGGCTCATCCAAGCCTATGTGAAAACAAGGGAAGTAAATGGAGAGGAAAGCCGCCGAGGAAATTAGGGTTCCTTCCACACTAATTAATGTTTTGGGGCATTTAGTACAGGCACCAAATTAACTGCTCCAAAGAACTTCACTGAAAAAAAAAAAAAAATACATTGTTGCCCTGCCATGTAATTAGAAGACAGTACAAGCAGAACACTTAATGAGGATAAAGCCAGCCTTTAACTTATTCTGCCCAGCTTCTGAAAACATGCCATTGTGAAGGCCTAAGTTTAAGGAAGCACTAAGCGTACAATATAGGATTGTTTAGGTCCTTCTGTTCGATGAGCTGTAAACAGGTAGCCCTGAATGAGAGACTCTGAGACTCCTGGGAGGCCCGGCTTCCCAGAAAGAAAAAGGTCTTAAATGCATCCAGAGAGAAGGAGAGAAGGTGAATAGCCCCGGCACAGCCAGCGCAGTGAATGCTCACCGCTGTCTTAAGTGATTACATGATGTTGTGCCACCCCCTCTCATTGAGTTATCTTTACACTGCTTTTGTCTCCTCTAATTGGAGCTGATGAGGTGCTAATTGGTTGCTTTTTTAAAAAAGCACTGCTTAAGCACTGGCAACCAGAGTGAGGCAGCGTGAGCAGAGTTAATGAGGCCTCGGAGAGCAAAACCCCCCAGAAACCCCTGACCAGCCTCAAACCCACCAAACCACTGTGTACACACACACATATACAGGCATGCCTTCCTGTTGGTACAAACAAAAACGCGAAGGGAAATAACTGAATGTAAGTACACGGCCGTGAGGATGCGAGTTTGTGAAAAAAAGGGGCAATACCAACAATAAATACATCAATGTCCACTGCTTTGGCTGGCACTCTTGGACCTCAGACTGCTGCCTGTGCCCCACGCTGCCTGCACACCCCACTGCCCGCACACCCCGCCGGCCATGGCAGAGGGCTCGAAATAGTTGATCTTAAGGTCCTTTCCAATCCAAACCATTCTATGCCTCTATAAAGGCAGACGAGTAGGTTCAATTACCCCATCCCTGGCAGTGTTCAAGGCCAGGTTGGACAGGCCTTTGAGCAACCTGGGCTAGTGGAAGGTGTCCCTGGCCTTGGCAGGGGGTTGGAACTAGATGAGCTTTAAGGTCCCTTCTAACCCCAAATATTCTATGATTCTGTGATTTTATGAATCATCTCACCCCATCTTGCTGCTCACAGGCGAGCCGCTTGCTGTGGCCCCCTTCACAGCTCTGAGGAGCGCCAGCGTTTTCTGGGTGTGATGGCCGGACCTTGCTACGCCGCCTGCCACCCGCTGCAGTGATGTGGCACCACAGCCATGAGGCAGATGACACTGAGGTGGCAGCAATGCCCGACAGCTCTGCCCTGCAGGCTGCACCCTGTGAAAGCACAGCCTCACTGGGCTGGAAAGGTTCAAAGTAATTTCATAAATATCTTTGCTTTTAAATTGGGATACAAGCAACACACACAGCGTAAACACAGAATCACAGAACTGACTGTTAAATACAGTCTTTTGTCCTTTCTGGCTTTGTTTACATGTAGTCACAGAGACATGTGGGAGAGGTTGCCCAACGATAACAAGTTTGTTCTCTCTGTCATGGGCTCAGTACCACCAGGCAATTCTCTAAATCCTTCAAAACTCATCTGCTGAGCAGTTGTGTACTGGAAACTATAAAACCTACAGTCAAAAAACTATAGGAAGATAACGCACCTTTTAAGACAACTCAGATGAACTATTTATGCTGAAGAGGAATGAATTCAGGGCTCCTGCTTTCCTCATTTCTGGGGTCTTGTTGGGCTTTTTTCCTGGTTTGCCTGTGTATAACTGCAGTTAGAAAAACCAAATAGTCTGCAAACAGCCAGTTTCTCAGGGATGTGTTTATGCTTGGTAATTTGTACCCCTATTCATGTTCTATACCGGATTCTTTTCACTCTAATGCATGGTCACTAGCTTTTCTTTTGGTTGTCATGAAAAACAGGGATTTCTTGCTGGCTGGTAGAAAGAAACTTCCTAGTGAACAAAGTTACCATTAATTCCTCTAAATGTGTTTTTCCAAGGCAGGTACAACTGTGCTTGCAGAGATCTGCTGTGCTTGCAGAGATCTGCCTGTCGTCAGTGCTGCCTGCTGTGTTTTCACAGAATGCTTGCAGGAGGTAGTCCCTCGGGTTTCCTTTGTTTCCCATGGGATTAATACCTTCTGGTTTACCACAAGCCAGTGTGACGTGGGTTGTGAAACTGCATGCTGTGCATACCAAGATGTAATCCTTAAACATGTTCTACCCTTCTTCTACTTCCTCCTCCAGTTTACTTTTTGCCTTGCTGCTGCTGATGGGAAAGATGCTTCCCAGGCCTCCTCCCTTCCTAATGAGCATGGCCAATTGTGTACTAATTTAAATAGGAATGACCTTCATTTTCTGAAGGTGAAGGTGATCCTATTCTTAAGGAACAAAGAGGCAGGAAGGCTGTGGTCCTTCCCCAGCTCCTAGTATTCTCACTCCGGCTGAGTGGTGGCTTCTTCCTATGCCTGCTGCTTCATCAGCTGCAGCTTGGGGGCACACGAAGAGGATGAATGCAGCTCTACCAGGCCTAGGGAGTGAGAAAGGTAAACACCCCTTACCTGCAGCCATGGGATGGCATATCTCGTCAGCTGCTGCTAAAGAGGGGACTAAAGGTGCTTTACACCACCTCCTTTTTTTGGTAGGTTTGGATCTGGACGCTTTCTCTTCTCCTTCCTAAGTGGTGAGTAGTTTAGTGGTTGCAAAGTGCGTAACAAAGGCATCAGGCAGGGTGCTGCAGTTAGGGCCTGCTCCTTTGGTTTGCGGTGACTGGAAACAAATGGGTGTACTAGTAATGTGGAATGCACTGGACAGCTCAGGGATGATTCCCTTGGAGGGATACTGCATGCACCGTTATTTACAAGCTTGGCACTCTAGAAAAAGCAAGCACTATCTCAGAGAAAGGTGAGAAGTGGCTCTTGTGATATAAGCTCATTTATCTTCACTAGGGTGATCCTAGCTAACAGAGAATAAAAATGAAATGTTAGGAAATGCACATGACCTTCATCCTTTAGGTAATACTGGATGCTAAAAATACGAACTTTGTGGTCCCACACTGAAGCAGTTGCCATGTAGGCTGAAACTGGCTTTGTAGCTTTTAGGATGGTGTGAGTGTGTCTGTGTGTGCGAGTGTCTGGTTTCCCCTGAATACTACATATTTCTTTGATCTATTTCAGAGACCTGTTCTCAATAAAATGAAATTGAAGGGGGCTTCTATCTGGCTAATTATTCCTTCAGGTACCTAAATCAGAGAACCCATTCCTGTTGTCATATAGAAATCACAGCGGAAAAGCATGCAGTGTGCATGCTTGTGTTGAAAACAATCAGGATGGTTCTCCATCCATCAGCTGATGCTTTAGGGATTACTGGGATTATTCCTTACATTGTCCTCCCCATTGAGACTGGCAGTTGTGTTGCATTACACAATGAAGTATCTGAAAACATGCCCAACTGCTCAGGGAAGGCCTACTGTCAGAAGGCAGATAAATACGCCAGAGAAATCAAACAGGAAAAAGAAGGGAGGTGAGGTAAAACAAGTGAGAGAACAGAAGTGTAGCAGGGGCGAGGCTCAAAGTCAGGGGCAGACATCTGGGAAGTGCAAGAGATTGGTCCCATAGCCATAGGAGAGGTAGCAGCAAGAAAACTGGGCATTTCAAGCTGTGCTGTGCTGAGGATCACATGAGCCGTTTCCCCAGAGGCTGCACTCAAGAAGCCAAAGTTTAAAGCCAAGGATGCATCCATGTTTTTCATGGTTCACTTCTGGGTCATTTGATTGAAAAGATTCTACATTTGACAACTTCCAATGTTCAAAGAGGTTCAGAGGTTTTTAAATCTGTTCAGCTCATCCCTGCTTGAGATAAACATGAATGGGCCAATTGTTCATTTTAATAAAATTTGGCTCAAAAATAGTCATTCAGCACCACAGAAGGGCATGTTAGGAGGAGATCCCTCACTAAAGAGGAAAGTGAGGATGTTCAATTTTTTAAATGCTTGATAAAATCAGGGAAGAGCTGGCTGAGTGTTGTCACTATGCAGCCCTAGACTAAGTAAAACATAAAAGGAAGGTAAGTATGAGACAGAGGAGGATCACAGATTATCTCAAGTTGGAAGGGACCCACAAGGACCATCACATCCAACTCCCTGCTCCTCAGGAAAACTACCTAATGGCTAAGAGCATTGTCCAGATGCTCCTTGAACTCCGGCAGGCTTGGTGCTGCGACCACTTTCCATGGGGAGCCTGTTCCAGGGACCACTTACCCTCACAGTGAAGAAACTCTTCGTAATGTCCAATTTGAACTTCCCCTGATCTAACTTCACTCCATTTCCTCATGTCCCATTGCTGGTCACCAAAGAGAAATCAGTACCTCCCCCCCTACCGCCCCAGGGAAGTCGCAGACTTTGATGAGGGCACCCACCAGCTTTCTCTTCTCCAGACTGAACAAATCGAGTGACTTCAGCTGCTCCTTGCTAGCCTTGCCCTCAAGACTTTTCACCATCTTCATCACTCTCCACTGCACACGCTCTAATAGTTGAATGTCCTTATATTGAGACATCTAAAACCACACAGAGTACACGTACGCGCACAGCTACCATGGGAAGCAGGTTGGGAAGGAAAGAAGAAATACTGAGAGATGATCTATCCTGTCCAGTGCCCAGGCATGCTCAGCAGCACGGAAGATGATCCTAAAGAAGCTTGCGCACAGATGCTACGGCCCTGTCAGGACTCTCTCCACATACTCAAGCAGCTGGAACAAATTAAAAATACCCACTAATATTTTGCACACATTCTCCTTGCCACTATCTCAGGCCGTTACATTTTTCTCTAGACACCTGCGGACACAGAAGGTTAATTCCCTTCTAGTTTGGGTTTGTTTAGGGGTTTTTTTTTTAATCGCTGCTTTGGGAGGTTTTAGAAGTAACTTTTAGGGTTTGAACGGCTGTGCTGAGCTTTCCTTCATCTAATCTCTACCAATGTAAGAAGTCTGCCTCTCCTGACAGGTTGTGTTTTACAGATCTCTCCTCATTCGCACGCTTTCCCTTGGTCACACTTTTCTGTAGCAACAGCATATTTACCACTTGCAAACTTATTTGGGCCAGCCGCTGCCCCAGACTGTCCCACGAAACTGTCATCACCGGCTGTCAGCTCACCTTCTGCACAGTCTGATTTTTCCTGAAAGATCTACAGGGCATATTTGAGAGAGCAGAGTGTCAGAATTCTCCCCAGTTCAAGCAAAGGTGGTCCAACACTGGTAATGATAGGGCAAGGGGTAACGGGTTCAAACTTAACCAGGAAGTTTAGGTTAGATGTAAGGAAGAAGGGTGGTGAGGCACTGGAATGGATTGCCCAAGGAAGTTGTGAATGCTCCCCCACTGGCAGTGTTAAAGGCCAGCTTGGATGGAGTCTTGGGTGACATGGTTTAGTGTGAAGTGTCCCTGCCCATGGCAGGGGGGCTGGAACTAGATGATCTTAAAGTCGTTTCCAACCCTAACTATTGTGCGATTCTGTGATTCTGTGAACACAAACTGTCTTGCTTTTATGGCAAGGTTGCACATAAGAAAGAGGTAAGGTGGCATCAGAAATCGTCCTACTTTATATATCCACAATGGATACACATTTGCGTGCCACAGTTAGAGGTATCTGTATCCCAGGTGCAAGAATGACTGAACTGTCACAGTATATGGTAGGACATTAAAGTCATCTGTGTAGCAAGAAGTAGAGAATGCTTGTTTGTTTCAAAGGAAGCTTTGAAAAATGCCTGTGCAATTCTTTTCACTCACAGACCACAAGGGATAGCTATGGTACAAGTGAACTGAGAAAGCATTTAGTATCTGACAGGTCACTTCTACTCTTTGTATTTCTCTATAACGTGCTGGTTCCCAAATGTTTCTTACATCATGCAATGCCTGCATATTACCAGAAAATGTTAACTGATTTGCTTGTTAAAAAGCCTCTTCCACGGCAAATTTTGTATTTTTATAGGCATAAAAGCTGGTAGGAAAGGGAATTTCTGAAATTAAGGGGATTAATTTTAAATTAAACAGAAATCTGATTTTTTTTCTGGAATTAGAAAGAAAAACATTGCTTTGTTTTTGTAAGGTTAAAAATACTGAATTTCAACAATGTTCCTTCATTTGGTTACTAAATGGCATAAAAGTCCTATACATATAGATAAGTTTGCACCAAAATGAAACATACAAAGGTCAAAATATCCTATTTTGAAATTCTACAGTGCTAAAAGATGTTTTGCGATCTACCGAAATAAGTCAGAATATTCTTCCCATCATCCGAACTGTAGCTGCAGATTCCACTTTTAATATATTAACATGTTTTAACAGATCAGTTGTGCTTGCTACACATCATCTGCTTTGATATTTTAGCCATGTCCATGATGTCTGCGTGTCTGCCCTGTCAAACCTCCCATGAGATTAGTTCCCAGAGCCTCCAGCCCTAAGGGAGGGTGTGTCACCTCCTGAACTCCTGGAAGCCTAGTGTCTTGCTTTTCAGTGTGCTAAATCCATCAAGCTGATTTTGCTCTGACAGTGTTACACAGGTAGTAACCTCCGCCAGGACCAACCTCAGGAAGAAATGAACCTCCAGCATAGACCAAATGTGTGAGAAATGGCACCTTACGCAAACACTGACAGCCTCATACTGAGAAGCTGTGAAATCCATGAATGATGACTAAGGTAATTTTAGCTTAAAAAAAAATAAACCAAGAAAACAAGTTTTTCGAGCGTCACTGTTTCAGACTTGTCATGACCTCGCTCAGCAGAAGGGTCCCACTGCCCGTAACCTTTGTCTCCAGTATTCGGTGAGAACTAGCTTTGTAGGCATTTGTTTTCTATCATCAAATCATTAAATGGTAATGCAATTGTTAGTTTCATTTCCCCAGTTCAATACATTTTGCAGCCAGTAACCATTCCCAGTTCATTAACTGACTGACCTCAGCATTAACACCCCCTCCGCTAGGGTTGCCTTGGAAACAAAGCTTCCTGTGCGTAATCCAAGCTTATCGAGCTCTTTATCCTACATGTGACCCTTAATTACTTGCTAAATTAGAATGGTTTTCTGAAAATCACAAGAGGAGGTTAATATGTTCTTCCAGAGCTGGTCAAGCTAAGACGACACTAAATTCAGGGGGAATTCAAATTACATGATCCCTGAAGGCGTCTCTTTCAGAGGGAAGATGAACTTTCCCAATGGGAGGCAGTGTGCCATGATAATGCTCCTGTCACTCACTTTCCTTGCCCTGCTTGTCCAGCTACAGCTTATTCCAGTATGAACAATGTGGTAAGTAAATATCAGGTTGATTAATTATGGTGCAAGATTCAGTAACCACTTGTCTTCTGTAATTAACATGTAATTGAAATTAAGTAACACACTTTGTACACAGATTTCTGCACTAGGAGGGGAACAAGGGAGAATCCTCAAGGCTGCGACAGGGAAATTAAGAAAATAATAAGAGGGATCAAAAAATTAATTGTAGCTTTAAAAATGTGGTACATTTTAAGACACTCTCCAGTCAAAAAGAAGAATTACTTTATTACTTTCAACTGTCTTGGAGTGGAGATGAAGTGGGGTTGGTGTGTCCAAATATTGCTTACAATTTCTGAAAACACACATTTCCTCCACACATTTGAGACACAGAAATAATAAGAAAAGGTGGTACTTTCTAGGATGCCCAGTGCTTTTCCTCTCTCCTGTTTCCAGTGGCACATTACTTAAAGGACAGCAAGTCTTCTGCTTACGTGAGTGGCTTTATGAAGCTGTGCTAAGGCTAAAATGCTATTGCATGATCTCAAAAAAAACCTAAACCCAAACTCCTTGTGTCCCAGCAAGGGAACAGGCCAGGCTGAAGCAACTCCTCAGCAGAGCCAAAAATGGGGCTATTGCAATTTACCTTTCCTCACTGTCTGTGTCTGGCTCAGCCCTCAACACCTCTGGCTCAGTTCCAGCTGGACTTAACCACACAGTCTTATTTACAGAGGTGCTCTGAGGGTTCTTTCAAAAGCAGCGCTTACAAGTAGCTTACATGTCCTCTGTCTTCTACTGAGAGCACGAGGTAAATTTTGCATGGGTTTTACACTTTTATCTAAAACCACAATCACTCTATAACTCTATATGCGGGGCACTGTCATATTTCTGGAAACAAGTAGTCTACAGATGTGTCAGTACTTTCTCACCTCTCAATGTGCTCTGGGAAATGCTCTGAATCTCAATCTGCTTTGAAGATGCAGCACTGTTTACTTTGCTGCTTTTAAGGTTGTCTCTGGTAAGCTTGCAACCCACCTAGGAAATCATACTGGTCCTCCAGGCAAGACGCCAGCAAAGAATGATCCTTCATCAAATGCCACCCAAACAAGTGCAGCCTGTGCCATGTATCTGTGCTGTCTGTGCCTATCTTTGCGGTTCCTCTTCATCCTCCATATTTGCAGGAATGTGCCAGGTCAGGTGTTTAAAATTGCCTTGGGGAAATACCCTTTCTTGTGCAGGGCTCCAGGGAACAGAGCTCTGTGTCTGTAAGCTAGTGGAATGCCTGAGTTTCACAAAGCTTACCAGAACAATGTGATTTAATGGTTCTTTTCCATCTGACATACATGGTTCCTCTCTACTGAGCAAGTAGCACACTTGGAGCCTTGCAGATCTATTTTCCCATATATATGTCACAGGGAAGGAGGAGAAAGCAGTTTGAGGCTGGCAGAAACACCAGTCCTGTAACACGTAGCAGTCTTCTTTAGGCCCTTCACAAGTTCATGCTTCTGAACATTATCATTAGTTACACGAATCCCAGAGTTCTACTTTCAGGAGATGCCAACACCTATATCATTACTGATGTGGGATTTTCACCAGGAGTCTAATTTCTGGTTTAGCAATTAAGGGTTTCTCCTACCTAGTCACAGATTCTTTCCACACAGCATTTCATTCACATAAATTTAAGCTCAGCCAATGCAAAAAACAGTCTGCATCAGCATGCCCCTAACTACTGTAAAATGTAGAATCATTTGGGTTTGTGTACAAGTGCTTGCTTTCATGGATATATATAAAACTCAACAGACTAATCATCAAGATGGGAAAAGACTAGGCAGGTAACAGCAGTCTACCACTTGTACTGCAGATTTCTCTTGGTATAAGACGTACTCATATTTTACACTTGAATTACAGATACAGTCACCTGCATTTTTGCTCAGAATTCAACACAAGATGCCTCAAAAGTGTATTAGCATGATAAGCAATCATACCTTTTAGAACGACTTCACTGTGGCCTTATTTGTTTTCTCCCTTTTCTTTCCTCTGCCCCCTTGCAATGTTCTCTCATTAATGCATCCAAATGCTCACAACACTGGAGTCCGAAGGATAGATTCCTGTATATCCACAGGGTCTTTGACTTCCTTGCCCAGATCTCTGGAAAATACGATGGCATTTTTCTAAGAACAATGATAAAAAAATGATATCATCTACTGCTTGGCAAAGAGACAGTTAAGCTATTTAATTTGTTATGATAATACAGAATTTATCCCCACCAAGGAGCATATCATTACAAAGATGCATTCTAGATGTGTGAGAGATTAGCAGGCACAAAGCAAGAACACATTCACGCGTTCTTTGGGGTTTCTGCTGAAACTTACAGCAAATATGATTATGCTTTTCTGAGTGAGCATCTACCCAGGTGGCACACACAAATATGCAAGCTTCCTTCTTTCAAAGGGAGAGAACGGTCAGCTCAGAAACACGGGCCTGATCTTCACATTTACTGCATGAACCTCATAACCTTTCGTTAGGTTATGACCACACTTCAAAACTGTAACATGTGATGGGGTCATGTCCTCAGCTAACAGTTATATTAGCCCATCTTCCCAAATACGTGCAATTTTAACCTGCAAAGACCTCTTTTGCTAAGTTTAGTGACAGCTTATGCTCTTGAAGAAGATAGCTTACATGTAAAGGTAAGAATCCTCTGTGCTGGTGTATAAACTGTGCTTAGTATAGTGCATTCCACAGAAAAAACTGGAGTGCAATACCTTGCAGATTTGGTATAATTATAAATAGGTCCACGTTGACAGAACATTATACAAGCTGCAGTGTATACTTGTAGAACTTGCTTGCTGAGAGACATCTCTGGCAGAGGTTGTATTTTCTGAGATAACTTCTATCTCAGCGAGACCACTGTGATCTTGACAGTTGGCACTGCAACCAACATGGGCTTTAACGAAGACTTTTCATGCAGCTTCCACTGCTGTGGGCTTCCCAGAATAGCTACATGATTACTACACATGCGTTCATACGTGTATGTCACACTTCTTGGCATTAATCAAACCTCCTTGGCACCAAGAGGGATGAGAGTGCCACAAAGGGAAGTGATGAAGAAAACTGGCCTTTTCCTGTCTTTTTAAATCAAGTATTTTGAAGTTGGATATCCACAGACTTTCTGTCACTCAGCCAGTGTATGTTTAAAATATGTATTTATCCATGTGCTAGCCTGTATGTGCGCATATGCATATATGGTTTGCTTACTTCATTTTCTTCTTTGACTGAGGGAAACGAGTAGCTGAACCGAGATAATTACTGCAGTGTAGAGGAGCCATTCAGGACAGAGTCATTACACAAACTAAGCAGAGTTTTCCTTTTTGACAGTATGGTAATTAAGAAACAACCATATGGTGATCTGGGAAATCCTTGATTATGTTTCTTGATTATGGACTGCTCTCAAGTACTCTGGAGTTTTGCATGCTCTGGGACAGTTATGAAGCCACTATGAAGCATTACATAAAACAAAGGGGCACAATCAAGTGACAGAACAGTTGATAGTAAGAATGATATATGCAAAACTAGCTGCATAACGTTTTATTTTACCTTCTAATAAGTTGAGACAATTCAACATCATAAAGTTATGCAGTACAGCGTCTGTTCTCTTAAATCCTGTATTGCTTCACTGCTAGTGCCTCTAAGTAGCAGAATTTCAGACCTGCCTGTGTGTGGGGGTGAGTATGAGAGATTTGTTTCAAGGCTAGTGCTTCTGGTTTACTAGCCTCTTTTAGTGTGGTTCAGTTATTTTATTGTCGTTATAAGTTCCAAGACTACTGCCAAATGTATGAAGTAGGCAAGAGAGGGCTTCAAGCTGTTCTGTTTGGATCTCTGACACATACACCATTTCACCCTCCTGAAGTAACTGCAGCACACTGCATTGCTCCAGTGTTCTGGACTTTTACCTGAAAAATTACTTTCTCAATCTTTAAATAGTAGAAAATCAGCTGAGTTTTATGTGCCTAGTTAGCTGCCAAGAAGTGACTCCCAATCCCCTTAATGTTTCTCACAGATGTACTCTAAAAGAACCCAAAACATAATTCTTAAATTATTCAGAGGTATTTTAGAACACAGTTGGATGGAAGACACTATTCAAACAAAACGTCAAGTACTTCTTTATATTAACAAGTATTAATTTATCAAAAGCACTTGGGAAATTTACATAAATTCCTCTAAAATTTACCTCAGAAATACATTGCTTTTATGTCTCATCTAATCAATATATTTGCTTAATGCTTTGTATAACTGGTAATGTACCTTTCCCAGTGAACATGTAAGGTTTTACTTTCGTCCATGCTGAAGTAGATGTATGCCATTTTAAAAAAAGAACTTAATCTCTCCTGAGTGACTCCAAGATCATCCTCTTTAGCAAGGTCTGAACCTACTTACTGACTCTTTAATTGCTCATACTCACAGATTAGGTAAGGAGAGAAGGGATGTCAGAAACAAATGGATATGGAAAAGGCAGAGCAAAACATAAGGGTGGAAAGAAACTGAAAAAAAAAAACAAAACTAAACCAAACCAACAACCCACTCCTGGAAATGGTTTTCTTCTGAAACGAGGCTGTAAGACAGAGGAACACATGGTATTCAAGCATGAAGTGGGAAGCTCTAGCTGTTGGTTCAGTTATTGATTTCACAGGGGCACACTGGTCAGATGGACTGCTGCTCCAGTGAAACAAAGCTGACACTGGCCTCTGCTTTGTGATGCTGCACACTGATAAGCAAACATCCATATTTCTCACCTTTATAGATCTGACCCTCTCTGAAGCAGCGGCCGCAACACTAACCACCTCTCTCCGCCATCAGCTTGCGCGTTCAAGGGCCACCAGAGGTTTGCTTTGCTCACTTCTACAGAAGACGGTCGATGACGTATGTTGTGAAAAATGGCATCGCTTTTTCTGCAGGATCTCTGACTATTCTAAAAATGAACATACAGAGCCTGTGTGAGATTTTTGTTAAGGAAGTAATATCGAGGGAGAAGAATAGACTACCCTTCAAACAATGCAGACTGCGTTACAGCAAGCGGCCGTAGCAAAAGCAGGAGCACAGGCCTGCCGATGGTCAGGCCCACAGACACGGCCCCACGGACGTTTCTTAGGTGCCGGGGCACGGCCTCGGCAGAGCCGATCACACACACCCGGGGCTGCTCGAAATCGCCTCCCCCTCAGGTGCCGAATCTCGGGCTCCCCGTAACACCCCCGTTCCCACAGAAGAGCCCTCTCGAAGGCCCGGCCCAGTTTGCGCCCACGCCAGCGGGCCGGAATCCCCCGCACCCTCAGAGACGCCTGGGCCCGCCCCGCCTCACAGCACTACCGCGCTTCACGGCACCGCCGCGCTTCACGGCACCGCCGCGCTTCACGGCACCGCCCCGCCTCACGGCACCGCCGCGCCTCACGGCACCGCCCCGCCTCACGCCACCGCCCCGCCTCACGCCACCGCCCCGCCTCACGCCACCGCCCCGCCTCACGCCACCGTCCCGCCTCACGCCACCGCCCCTCCCCGCCTCACGGCACCGTCCCGCCTCACGGCACCGCCCCTCCCCGCCTCACGCCACCGTCCCGCCTCACGGCACCGCCCCTCCCCGCCTCACGGCACCGTCCCGCCTCACGGCACCGCCCCTCCCCGCCTCACGGCACCGCCCCGTCTCACGGCACCGCCCCGCCGCACGCCACCGCCCCTCCCCTCCTCACGGCACCGCCCCGCCTCACGGCACCGTCCCGCCTCACGGCACCGCCCCGTCTCACGGCACCGCCCCGCCGCACGGCACCGCTCCGCCCCGCCTCACGGCACCGCCCCTCCCCGCCTCACGGCACCGCCCCGCCGCACGGCACCGCTCCGCCCCGCCTCACGGCACCGCCCCTCCCCGCCTCACGGCACCGCCCCGCCGCACGGCACCGCCCCTCCCCGCCTCACGGCACCGCCCCTCCCCGCCTCACGGCACCGCCCCTCCCCGCCTCATGGCACCGCCGCCCCGGCCTCCCACCGGCGGTCTGGGGGCGGGGCCCGGCTGGCGGCGCCACGAGGTCGCTCCGCCCCTTGCCCTGCCCCCTTGCCCGGCCAATCGCGTGGCGCCCTGTTGGCTATGCCCGGCGTCCCGGAGCACGGCTCAAGATGGCGGCGCGCGCGCAGCGGGGTGGCGTGGCTGCGGCCCTCCTCGCCGGTGCCCTGCTCGCCCTGGGCCGCCCTCCGCTCGCGCTCGGGCAGGCGGCGGAAGGCTCAGCAGCCGCTCTGCCGCACCGCCGCTTTGAGTACAAGTACAGCTTCAAGGGGCCGCATTTGGTGCAGGCGGACGGGACTGTGCCGTTCTGGGTGCATACGGGCAGTAAGTGCCGGGCGGCAGGTTGCGAGCGGGGCCGGGCCGGGCCGTGTTGCTGCCGTGCGGGGATAGGAGGGGCACGGCCAAGGTGGACGCGGCCGGCGGGACCGGGCAGCTTTGTTTGGGTCACAGGGCCGCCAAGGCAACGGGTGGGGAGCGGCGGCGGCGGCTCCTGTGACCGGCCGCTGCCCGAAGGGAGCGGAGCTGGGCTCGCCCCCCGATCCCTGCACCGTCTGCCACCTCGGCAGGGTCCCGCGGCATTGCACGGAGCTCCCAAGGGGCAAAGGAGGCGCTGTGGCGGCGGTCGAATGGCCAAAAGCCCTCCCCTGCCGTGCGGCTCGCAGGCAGCCGTGTGTTGCCATGTGCTGCGGTCGCTCCATCGCTGTGTGCGCTCCAGGGAGCGCCCCGCGGAGTGCTGATGTGTCACTCGGGCAGAGTGCGGGCCCGCCTGGCGCTGTGCCTGAGCCGGGCCACGGCGCCGCAGGTCCCGTTAGCGCTCGGTCGGGGTGTAAGAGCCTGAAATAGGGACTGTGCCGTGGCAAATACAGCCTCGCTGAACATAGCTTCTGCGATTGAAGTACAGGTCAGGGATGTGACTGTGCTGAAAATGCGTCTAGGCTTCTGTAAAGCTCCATCCTCCTGTAAACTGTGTTGATATTCATGGTACATAAGGATCTACCTTAGTACGGTTTCTCTGCAGGACCTTCTAATGTGGAGTTTGGTTTTTTTGTTCGGTTGGCTTTAATGATGAGTGTGAATCTTGTACTAATGTTTCACATTACGCTGTAAGTGACCTGAAGGCAGCTGTCTACAGATAAGCTTTTTTTCAAGTAAATGATGACAAAAATGTTATTTAATACAAGTGAATGGATTTATGTATGTCTAATTTTACTTTATTAAAAAAAATAGAATATCTGTTACTAAAAAGCAAAACAGGAATCTGTGATTTGTGAAGAGTTATGTGAGATACAGGAGAAAGCTAAACCTGATTTTATTAATTTAATGTGTATCTTAATAGCAAGGCCAAGGTTCTACTTAAGTTGTACCTTGTGGCACCAAACAGAAGGTGATTAAGTCTTCTGAAAAGCACTGTTAACGAGCTGTTGAAGGTAAAAGTGTGTTTTGTTGTTGGGGTTTTTCCCCTTGTCAAGTGGTTGAGTGCTCCACTAAAAAGTGATTCTGAAAACTGTTCTCTAGTTGAGGAGACCAGAAAACCTTGACTTTAGAAGATCTGTTAATTGGCTGCTTAAGCACTTGCAATATGTTCTCTCTCATGTAATCGGTGTTGCTTCATTTCCTTTCTAGATGCCATACCAAGTGCGGATCAGATTCGTATAACAACATCTTTGAAAAGCCAAAGAGGGTCAGTGTGGACAAAAGCTAAGTCAATATTTGAATTTTGGGAAGTCGAAGTGACCTTTCGAGTTACAGGAAGAGGCCGCATTGGAGCTGATGGATTGGTATTAAGAATTTGATCTAACTGAAAAAAGAAATTGGACAAGCTGTAAAAAGTGATTATTGACTTGTGACTCTTACTTCTTTCTGTAATAGGCAATCTGGTATACAGAAGAGCAAGGCTTGGAAGGCCCTGTTTTTGGGGCAGCTGATCAATGGAATGGTGTTGGAATTTTCTTTGATTCCTTTGACAATGATGGAAAGGTTAGTTGAAAAAAGAATCTTCTGGCAAACTCTTCCTGCTTGTTTCGTACCTATCACTTGGCGGGGGGAAGATGATGTTATTTTCTTATTCTTTTGCTTTGAAGGGGTAAATTAAAATACTCAATTTTCCCTTTCATAATTTTTAATCGACTGTTTTACGCTTGTTTTTTAAGCTTGCAAGTTGAAGTGTGGCACATAATGTACCTCCTCTGAACATTGATGCATGGGTCTGGTTTGGAGGGAAAATAGCATATGTAACTGTATAAGCTGGAATTTGGAATGGCCATGTATGATTTGAAATGTTGATATGTGTGTGCTTTGTAACAGGCTTATTATGACAAAATATGACACTACGGAAACACTAATTTCTGTCTGTCTTCAGAGATGCTCTTTTTCTTGGAACACATCTTCCTTGAGTAGTTCAGCAGTGAAAAATCCGTAGCAGATGGGGATGGCAGTTGCTGTTTTGAATTTCCAGTTTCAAATCCAGCATGATCCTTAGAAACTTTAACAATAGATAGTGTGTCTCTTGCTTTTTTTTGTTGTTGTTGTCACAACCTATCAGAAGGAAAAGAACCACAGTTCTGTTGCAATTTGGTTCTTTTTGAAAACAAAGGACTCCCCTACCCCACCATTGTGAATTGAGAAGGACATTATTTTTTGAGTTCTTGAAATCTGTTTTGTTTGGTGTTTTTTAAGAGCTGGTAATCTATGTAGTGGTACAGTGTATTCCTTTATATCATGGGTTAACCCTTGTAGACAGCTAAGCACCATATGGCCAGTTACTTATTTTCTGATGGGATGGGGGATAAAATCAGAAGGCTAAAAGTGAGAAAACATGTGGATTGAGATAAGCCCAGTTTAATAGGCAAAGCAAAAGCTGCATGCTCGAGCAAAGAAAAAAATGTATTTGCTACTTCCCACTGTCAGGCAGGTGTTCAGCCGTCTCTAGTACCTCATAATGATGACTTGGGAAGGCAAAATGCCATAAGTCTGAATGTTCCCCCTTCTTATTCTGAGCATGATGCCATATCTGGGATATTCCTTGGTCAGCTGTCCTAGCTGTGTCCCCTCACAACTCCTGCACCGCGGCCTACTCACTGGTGTGAAAAGCAGGAAAGGCTACTGCTGAACCCAGGACACCTGTGTAAGCAATAACTAAGACATTGCTGTGTTGCCAACACTGGTTTTTACCATAAATCCAGAACATAGCCCCATACCATCTACAGTGAAGGAATTCTGTCTGTAGCGTAATGGTATCAGGTGCCTTATTGCAGAAAGGCTAACAGCGATGTTACTTATGTTTCCCATTGAATTTAACTTCCATTTTTTTGCTATGTATTTTTTCTAGAAAAACAATCCTGGAGTGATCGTTGTAGGCAACAATGGTAAACTTCTGTATGATCATCAGAAGTAAGTTTATTTTCAGCATTAACGATGGATGTTTGCTTTTGATTGATGAAATGTTGCATGAAACCCTTAAGAAACATTATTGTGAAAGTTTCTTTCGTGTGAAACCTTGTTTCCTTTGTTTGAGTTTTTCTATTTGTTAAAACACTGTTATGGCAGTAACAGCACAGAAATTGGCAACTGATGGATGTTAAATGGTATGTGTCCTTTGGGATGAACGAACTCAGATAAATGGAAGAACAGACTTTTTGCCTCTTTACTACCTGGTGGTATCTTCCACGCACAGCTAATAACAGACAGAAGTGACTGAAAGCTAATTGCTTGCTACTGCAATTAATTGGTTTAATTTTGATTTCAGATTGTTTATAGTCAGCAGCACAGCTGACGTATTTTTGGGTTCCGAGAAGCGTCTAGCTTAGTTGATGCTGTCTGGACTACAGCTTATTTCCATCTCAGTTTGTGTCTAGCTTCATTAGTGCAGTCCAGACTATAGCTTATTTCTGTCTTAGTTCACAGGTGTGGGAATATCTCTAACCTTGGAGATTTCCCCTGTGTTCAAGTTTCCCCGTTACTGCTGTCTAGCTGTAGTGCCCTGTGTAAAACATCTAGTACTGTTGAT